GAGCGCACGGGTGATGGCCGTCTAAGCACCCGATATGGTCATGTTTGACTCTCTAGACAGTAGTTACATGAGCATATGTTTTCCTTTAGTTCTTATCGATAAAAGGGAGGCGTCCTCATTCCACCCCTCCGACACCCAAGGTGTGGTTGGCAGGATTTTGCCGGACAGTCGCGGGGAAATTTTTATTGGATGGCGGGTTAGCTATGACCTGTGATCTTTTTGTGGTAATGCTCTAATATGTAAGTCATCTGAGCAATAAGAGGACAGGAACTCCTCTAAAACGGAAAGTCTGAAAGTACTAGTCTTATCACCGGGGCAGTTTGCCGAGTTTGTCGAAGACATTGAGAATACTTGTTTTTCTGCAACAAGTGTGTTCTATTTCTCCAAATGAATTGGTAGAATGTGCTCGCTGCATGAAATATGCAGATTAAGTGATGTACAGGCGGGCAGAAAACAGTAAATCCTAGGCTCTTGGTTAAAAAGGTTGGATCGGGCAGCAACTCTGTGGCAGATAAACTTAGTCCTAACCCCGATCCAGACTCTTTACTTAACCCTATTTGTTAACCTAACCGTAACCTAACCCCTGGGAATTTTATTAAGCTCCACAGGGAACGTAACCCTAATATAACAGGTTTACCTAAATCCAATAAACAGACAATGGATAGTAATAGCAACTGAAGACTGTAAAACCGTTTTCTGACTGTAACACTTCTCTGACTCAATTGTCTTTGCCCATCTTTCCGCTCCCTTTCAAGCAGGGCCCTTGTTGACGCAGAAGAGCAGGAGACCGTGGCTTTTCTTCAAAAGGTCCGAATTCCCCCTCCACACTCTCCACCGCCGGCCACCCTACGAATGTCCACTCGTGACTCCAACCGCATGAAGCGTTTCAGCGCCTACGGCGCTATTGACACCGCGGCAGCGCTTGCCGGCCAGCAGAAGGCTCTCATCACCGCAGCCTTTGCTATGGAGGATGATGAAGAGGTAGAAAGGGAGGAGGGCGAGTTGGTCGATGAAGACTATGAGCAGGAGCATTCGCATGCTGCCAGAGCGGAGCAGCAGCATGAACAAGAGGAGGCAGATGGTGTGGCGGTGGTGGATGTCACCAACCTCTCAGACGCACATGACGATGAGCAGGTCCTCCGCGCTGACGGTATCACCGCCAGCCCGCAGACGGGCACTACGGAATCACGGAGGAAGAGGAAAGCTGCCGGCGGTCAGGTCACCACGATTGCCGTGAAGGCTAAGAAGGCT